TGGATGGTCAGAGATTTTTTATGACATTTTCTTTTACATAAAAATGTATATTGTATTTTTAAATATGAAAGTGTAATATATTAATGGTTAATATAAAATTATGTAAATCTATTTTTTATATGCATGACTATAATGATGATTTATATACTATAATTTATTTAATTTATACTTACAATATTTACATATTATACAAATCACAATCATATTGATAAACTATAATTTTGATTTGGTCTCTGAAGCATATGTAAAGTATAGAATTGTAGATGAATAAAGAAAGTAATACATATACAAATAAAACTTCATACTAACTCATTCTATTGAACAAAGTATGTCTAGTTTCTCAAAACTCAATAAGTGTAAAAAGCTCATTTGCATTTGCAATTTAACTTACATATTTTTCTTACAATACATATATATTTTGATAAAACTTTATAATTAAATTAATAATATATATTATTTTTTTTAAAAAAGAGTTTCTTAACCAGAAAAACCATATTAGTTTTTTTTACATGTTGTATTTATAAGAAATTTCTTTTTTGTTTTGTTGATGTAGATGGTTAGAGATGTTTTCATGACATTTTAGTTTATATAAAATATATATACTATTTTTAAATATGAAAGTGTAATATATAAATGTTACATATAAAATTATGCAAGTCTATTTTTCATATGAACATAACGATGGTTCATATTATGTTGTGTTTAATTTAATATATGTGTAAAAGTATTTAGCCAAAAACAAAGATAATAGCATGTACATAATCATACGTATTTGGTGCTTTTAATTATGTGGATGAACTCTATACCTCATAATATTATATCTAATAGTCTAAAAAGTGTGATTATTATTAATATAAGGCATGAAATTTTTTTTTGTTAAAATCAAGTTATATGTTTTGTTGTATTAGTACATACAATTTAATCAATATTCAAGTATACTATTATTATTGATTAAATACTATTTAAATTTAAGCAAGTTATAAATATATTAAACAATTATTTTTATTATAGGTCTGCTGATGTGGCAAGTTTAGAAAGCTTTTAAAAAAACTGAGGTGGATGGCTTTAGGAGCCTCAAACTCCTCTTTTCATTTAGTATAGATAGATATTTTTATTACACTATATATATATGTTGATAAACCTTTATAATTAAATTAATAATATATATCATATTATTTTTAAAAAAAATTCTTAACCAAAAAAACAAACCATGTTAGTTTTTCTTACATGTTGAGTTTGTAAGAAGTTTCTTCTTTGTTGATGTGGATGGTCAGAGATTTTTTATGACATTTTTGTTTACATAAAAATGTATATTGTATTTTTAAATATAAAATTTTAATATATTAATGGTTAATATAAAATTATGCAAATCTATTTTTTTATATGCATGACTATAACGATGATTTATACTATACTATAATTAATTTAATTTACTCTTAAAATATTTACATATTATACAAAATCACAATCATATTGATAAACTATAATTTTGATTTGGTCTCTGAAGCATATGTAAAGTATAGAATTGTAGATGAATAAAGAAAGTAATACATATACAAATAAAACTTCATACTAACTCATTCTATTGAACAAAGTATATCTAGTTTCTCAAAACTCAAAAAGTGTAAAAAGCTCATTTGCATTTGCAATTTAACTTACATATTTTTCTTACAATACATATATATTTTGATAAACCTTTATAATTAAATTAATAATATATATATTATTTTATTTTTAAAAGAGTTTCTTAACCAGAAAAACCATATTAGTTTTCTTTACATGTTGAATTTGTAAGAAATTTCTTTTTTTTTTGTTGATGTAGATGGTCAGAGATATTTTCATGACATTTATTTTATATAAAAAAATATATACTATTTTTAAATATGAAAGTGTAATATATTAATGTTACATATAAAATTATGCAAGTCTATTTTTCATATGACCATAACGATGGTTCAATTATGTTGTAATTAATTTAATATATGCGTAAAAGTATTTAGCCAAAAACAAAGATAATAGCATGTACATAATCATACATATTTGGTGCTTTCAATTATGTGGATGAACTCTATACCTCATAATATTATATCTTATCAATTTTTTTAGTTTAAAAGTGTGATTATTATTAATATAAGGTATGAAATTTTTTTTTGTTAAAATCAAGTTATATATTTTGTTGTATTAATACATACAATTTAATCAATATTCAAGTATTACTATTATTATTGATTAAATACTATTTAAATTTAAGCAAGTTATAAATATATTAAACAATTATTTTTATTATAGATCTGCTGATGTGGCAAGTTTAGAAAGCTCCTAAAAAAAATGAAGTGGATGGCTCTAGGAGCCCCAAACTCCTCCTTTCATTTAGTATAGATATTTTTATTATACTACATATATATTTTGATAAACCTTTATAATTAAATTAATAATATATATCATATCATTTTATTTTTAAAAAATTCTTAACCCAAAAAACAAACCATGTTAGTTTTTCTTACATGTTAAGTTTGTAAGAAATTTATTCTTTGTTGATGTCGATGGTCAGAGATTTTTTTATGACATTTTCTTTTACATAAAATTATATATTGTATTTTTAAATATGAAAATGTAATATATTAATGGTTAATGTAAAATTACACAAATCTATTTTTTATATGCATGACTAAAACGATGATTTATACTATACTATAATTAATTTAATTTATACTTTATTTACATATTATACAAAATTATAATCATATTGATAAACTATAATTTTGATTTGGTCTTTGAAGCATATGTTAAGATAGAATTGTAGATGAATAAAGAAAGTAATACATATAAAAATAAAACTTCATACTAACTCATTCTATTGAACAAAGTATGTCTAGTTTCTCAAAACTCAAAAAGTGTAAAAAGCTCATTTGCATTTGCAATTTAACTTACATATTTTTCTTACACTACATATATATTTTGATAAACATTTATAATTAAATTAATAATATATATTATTTTATTTTTAAAAGAGTTTCTTAACCAGAAAAACCATATTAGTTTTCTTTACATGTTGAATTTGTAAGAAATTTCTTTTTTTTTTGTTGATGTAGATGGTTAGAGATTTTTTTCATGACATTTTATTTCGTATAAAAATATATATACTATTTCTAAATATGAAAGTGTAATATATTAATGTTACATATAAAATTATGCAAGTCTATTTTTCATATTACCATAATGATGGTTCAATTATGTTGTAATTAATTTAATATATGCCTAAAAGTATTTAGCCAAAAACAAAGATAATAGCATGTACATAATCATGCGTATTTGGTATTTTAATTATGTGGATGAACTCTATACCTCATAATATTATATCTTATCAATTTTTTAGTTTAAAAGTGTGATTATTATTAATATAAGGTATGAAATTTTTTTTTTTTAAAATCAAGTTATATGTTTTGTTGTATTAGTACATACAATTTAATCAATATTCAAGTATTACTATTATTATTGATTAAATACTATTTAAATTTATCCATCTAGAGAAATTCCCTCAAATGCACTTAATCTAAGTTTTTGTTCCACATATACACTAACACTCTAAAAAATTCCATCCATAACATTTTGTACCATATTAAATTATTAATGTTAGTTAGACAAAACATTAGTTAATAAAAAGAGAAGAAAAATAATGTACAAACAAATGTATCAATGACCAAGACTGATCTGAAATTCAAATTATTTGTTTTGTTTAGGATCACTCTTCTCATTTGATTGTGATTTGTGATTGTGAATCTCTTAGATTTTTGGGATTTTTTTATGGGAAATTGATTTCATGATTTAAAGCTCAAAATCATATAATGATAGATAGATCTGATATAATTGGGTGAAAAGCTCAAGAAACCTGAGCTAAAACAGCAACGATGGTGAAAAAAAAAAGAAATCGGCGGGAATTAGGGTTTGGACATCACAGAGGTGAGGAAAGAGATGAACGTAAATTTAGGAAGATATTCTAAAGTTTTAGGAAGACTTTCCTAAAATATATAAATTAAGGAAGTCATTACATATATTTAGAAATGTCTTCATAAATCGTATAATTGATTATTATTTTGGTTAATTTATATAATTCAAATTCAAAAAACCTTTCCACAATTCAGGAAATTCTTCCACAATTCAGAAATTTTTTAAAATTTAGGAAAGCTTTCCTAAACCATATGAAACGATGTTAAAATCTAGTATTTGGAAGACTTTCCTAAAAAAATCACGAAATATTGACAGAAAAAAAACTTTTAGGAAGTCTTCCTTAAAGGGTAGAATCGGAAAACTCAAATGAAAAATGTTAGGGATAGAAAATTTTTAGCTTCCCTGTTATATTTGTCCTGAAAACTTATTTTCAGTGTAATTATGGAAATTACCCTTAAATTTAAGCAAGTTATAAATATATTAAATAATTATTTTTATTATAGGTCTGCTGATGTGGCAAGTTTAGAAAACTTCTAAAAAGCTGAGATGGATGGCTTTAGGAGTCTCAAACTCCTCATTTCATTTACATTTAGTTTAGATTTTTAAAAAAATATTAACTCAAAATTTTACACCAAATGTACCACATAAATTTAATATTTTTACCACATAAATTTACTGCAACTTACATCAAATTATAACATAAATTATAACTCCAATTTAAAATAACGAATTTTAAAATTCCTTAACTTCCCTTAACTCTCGGGCATTCGACTTGAGGATAAAAATCCCTAAACTGAACCAAACCAAACTAAGATTTATCAATTGAAACTTTTTCGAATGGAATAGAAAATTTTAACATTGGATAACGAATAATCCGAATCAAACTGAATTTTGTTTATCCGGACCAAATTAACCAAATTAACCGACATTCATTGAAACTAAACAATGAATGTCGGGTAAAAATAATAAACATGAGTTGCTAACAAAAGAAACAGCAAAACTTTGTAAAATAACGTCAAATAGTTCATTTACATGAAATAGTTTACAACCTGTGGAGACAGCGAAGGATCCTCGTCAGGTGTCTCTGTGCCTTGTTGTTCGAATATCATGGGATCGAAATACAAAGATTTTTCCTCACAGGAATCAAAAGAAGAGAGGGAAAGAGAAAGTAATGCTCCATCATCACCATGGAAGCTACTTGATGGTGAGGGCACCTTGCTTCTAGAAGATACCAGAGTAGAAACTCCAACCACCCCTAAGGAAAGCTCTGAACTCGGAGTCATTAATTTCGAGTTCACGGCCAGAGAGTTGGAAGGTTCTTGAGATGTTGTAACAGTCATCTGCATCATTATAAATTAAGTGATTAAATTCTATTTTCTACCTTAATCTGAATAAGAAATAGCCTTTTGAGTTTCCAGTTCAATGTATGGTAAAGCTTACCCGCATCCTCTTCTTGCTTCTATCACTCTCTCCATTACTTTCTCCAGACTCTTGGCAGTACTCTGTTTCTGGGCTTCTATCTCTTCCCAAGGGAGATGGAGAGATATTCATGACTCGTACACCGCATCCTTTTATCCTCCGAGGTAAAAAGGGACAAGAGTGGTGGTTAAGGCTAAAGTTGTCGTAGGAACAAGCATAACTGTGGTAGTAAAACTCAAGTTGCAAAACATTGTTGTATAGTTCAGATGGAGATTCATGGACTTCTTCTTCACGGAAACGAATTAAATGCATAACAAGATGATCCATCTCGCACGAGACCAGTTCCATTCCAAAAGGATCCACGCCTTTTCTGCCTCGAAAGTACCAGCGAACTCCGACATGTACAGAACGATCCTCGGGGTGAGTTGGAGGTCTAACCACGATGCAAGCTTTAAGCTCAAAATTTGAAAGAGAGCTCTCCGACAAAAGGATACTTAGGGAACTTCCACAAGCTTTATGTGTGAAATACATAGGCACTTCTGCGCCTGGTAAAACAGCATAGTGTAAGTCTGATTGTAGGATGAGTTCCTGTGCATCTCGATCCAGATCGAAGCAATTATTGAACTTCACAGTTAAATCAGGAAAAGAAAATGAAGAAATGTTTGAAAAAGCAGAGGAAGCCTTGTCGGGCCCTGGTAACTCATCACACATTGTTGTGATTCCTCCACAGTCTGAAAAGTCGGCCTCACGATGTATCATTTTAAAAATAATTGGGGAGACGTTTTTTAGCTTCTTGCACCTACTCATCGTTAGTTCCTTGAGACGAGACATCTTCTCAACCCAAGAAGGAACGTCTTCAATCGCAGTATCGTCTAGATAGAGTTTTACAACTGCCGTTGAAATCTGAGGAAAGTTTCTCAACTTTGAGCATTCTCTGAGATCGAGGCTTACAAGAGATTCCAAGTTGACGTCGATTGGTAGAACCTCGAGCATTGTGCATCCTATCATGCTCAAAATCGTCAGTTTGTGGAGATTTCTAATTGAAGAAGGAAGCATCACCAAACTTTTGCAATTGTTGAGTTCAATATAGTCAAGGTTGGTGGCCTTTGAAAGATCTGGAATCTCTTTGAGGCTTTCACATCCTGACAAATCCATATACTTGAGACTTCCGAGGGACTGAAAAAAGAAGCAAGAAACATCTTATGCCTTCGATTCAGAAAGCGAATTACAATAAACTATTGAAGTTAACCAAAAGAGCACTAACATACTTTATAATATTTTCACATATATATAGCAAACAAGAAGAAACATCAAAATTTAAGAAAATTTCCTTGGTTCCTAAGCACATAATGATATAAAACATTAACAATGAATAGCGATTAAATACCTTGACTCCTTCCCATAACTTTTCAAGCCTGCTATCTCTCATTCCAAGGCCAGTGAGATATTCTGGGTGAAAGTTAGAAGGCATACATCTCATTGGAAAACCATCCCAGTCGAGTGTAATAAGGTGAGGGATATTCTCAATCCAGGAACAATCTTCTTCTCCTTCTATTGCAGTATTATTTATAAAAAGCTGTGAAATGTTCCTTGATATTCGAGGAATTTTTTCCAACTTACAGCATCCTCTAAGATCAAGGCTTTCAAGAGATTTCAAGTTGACGTCAACGGGCAAAACCTTAAGCTTTGAGCATCCCCTCATGGTTAACACCTGCAGTTTATTGAGATTTCCAATTGTGGAAGGAAGTGTCACTAAAGATGTGCATCCCCAAAGGTTCAATTTCTCGAGATTTACGGCTTTTGAAAGATCTGGAATCTCTTTCAAATCTGCAGACCAACCCATATCCATCTTCTTGAGACTTCGAAGTAGCTGGAACAAAAAATGGAAAACAATACATATGTTATAAGTTTTTTAAATGAAACATAATACGACTCTTCCAGCCATAAATTAAATCACAAGTTTTTCTTTCAAATGGAAAATATTTATTCTTGTTGAAGACTAACGAATAAACCTTAAAATTAATACCTGAGTTCCTTCCCACAGCTTCTCAAGCTTACTACCTATCATGTTGAGTTCAACCAGATACTCCCCCCTAAAGTTACGAGGCATACACTTGGATGGATATTCATTCCAATGTAACAATTTGAGTTTACGAGGAAAATGAAGGTCTCGAGGTAAATACAATCTGCCTTCGCCAGTCTTCCTTGACCGCTCTTTATCAAATTTTAGAAACTTGAGATTACACATTCTTTCAAATGATTTCTCATCTATAAACAACGGTTCCTTGATTTCTGCTGTATTAAGAGATATGCCTAGAACATTCTCTGTGCCCTGAAAAATTTCACACAAAAAGAAACCAACAATCACAATAATTATCAAACACCAACTGAGTTTCTTAAATTCGTATAGAGTCAGCCATATGTGAAAACTCACGGTGTAATCAGTAAGGACATCACAAATATCCTCAGCATCCACCAAGTACCGACGTTTTCCAGGATTGTTGATGGATTCTGTACGAACAATTTCTTTACCTAACTTCTGTAACAAACAGTGCATTTCAACAGTCTTCTCTGATGATATTAAACCTATGAAGGACTTGTCAGCCAGTATCTTAAGCCCCATTTTAACACTATCTCCGAGCAAGTTTTCTATGTGATTGACTTCATGACCACTGAATAAGCATGCAACAGAAAGGAATAAATCTTTATCTTTGGCATCTAGCCCATCATAGCTGACTTTCAATGTTCTCTCAATTTTTCCATCCAAACTATTCCGGAGCCTAGGCAGCATCTCCACCCACTCCTCTTTATCCATCCCTCTCAAAGACGAGCCTAAGACACTGAGACCCAAAGGAAGATTACCCGAAAGCTCCGCAACTTCCACTGCAAGTTCCATGAAACCATAAGGTGGAAAGTACAGTCCAAAAGCAGACCGACAGAACATCTGCAGAGCCAAATCTTCTGATGGGAGCTCAACCTCATAAATAAGATCAATCTTATGAGACCTTAGAAGTTTCCTATCTTGAGTAATCACAACAATTCTGCTCCCAGACCCAACGCATCTAGTTTGTCCCACCAATGTCTTCACTAGTTCGACATCATCAACGATGATAAGAACTTTCTTGACCTTTAGCTTTTGCTCCACCACACCTAAATGAGATAACTTTATATCCTTTTGACATAGAATTTCTGATAGAAGCTGTTCTTCCCAAAACAACTTCATTCCATAGTCGTCCTTCTCTGTTCTCTTGTAAGAGACGAAAGCATGATGGTCGAAACGGCTAGATAATTGGCTGAACAGAGCTCTTCCTAATGTACTTTTACCAATCCCTGAAGCCCCAACAATTCCCAACATTCTCACATCCTCAGATTCTAAACACAAAATCGAACTCAATCTCTTTAAGTGAGCTTCAATTCCAACAAAGTCACCAAAATCATTGGATGGTATCATAAGCTTATTCGACACATCCTTAGAGATATTTTCAATCATGCTTGCTTCATCACTCCTAGAATATTTAATGGTAATATCTCAATAATCAATATAAGCACTCGTAAAAGCACAATCGAAATCAATGCAAAGAAAACTAGAAACAAACATACCAATTCCGAGAATCCTCTCCGGCCAAATTTGCTACCTCTGATAAAGCTCGAATCCACCTTTGCCTCTCCTCTTCTGTTTTACCCTTGCAGGTTTTTTCAAAGCCCTCGCCGAAATCTCCGGTCTGTTTTCTAACATCAGAAGGATCGACGTCGTGGAAAATCGGAATCACCATTTGATCCAATTCCTTAACGCACCTGTGGATCTCCACCAATTCGTTCAAACACCAGGTCGAAGAAGCGTATTTCTTAGAGAAAATGACGACGGAGATCCTCGATTCTCTAATCGCAGATATAAGCTCAGGTGCGATCGGTCGGCTTCGCTCGATGCCATGGTCAATGAATGTGATGATCAATTTGCGATTGAGCTTCTCGAGAAGATAGCTAAGGAATGATTTGCGCACATCTTCGCCGCTGAAGCTCGGAAAAACATCGTACCTCCAAGTGCGAGAAGTAGAAGAAGAAGCCATGGGAAGGGATAGAGAAGAGATTTTGAATTTCTTATGGAGAAAAACTCTGGGCAGTGTCGTAGATGTAGCAGAGACATAGTGAGAACTGAGAAAGTAAGGAGAAACTTGACGTTGATTTACGCAGAGAAGACCTTCAGGAAATTTCGAGCTGATTTCCACTTTCTATATTTTACTAAATCAAAATTTTGTTTTATTCGTAAATTGAAAAGAAAAAAGAAAGTCATTCATAGGCCATAGGCCCATAGATAATTTAACAAAGTAACAAAAATAATGGGCCACAGCCGACAAATCACACAACTCACAAAACATTCTCGAGGAATCCTACTTAAATGAATTCAAATGAGATATTATCACAAATGATTGGATACTTTAGAAATTTTGTTTACCACAGATTCTTCAATGGAGACATAATTCTGGTTTGAGCTATTCATTACGTATGAAATCGATATTTATAAACTATTACAAATTATTGTTAAACTTAACTGATTTCAAAAAAAATTGGTAACTTTTTATGTTAGTTTTGTTTTCACAATTAGTTGAGAGATAGAATATATTGTATAGGTACACAATATCGATTTATAAAGTGTATTTTTATATAGAAAAGGGGCAACATCGATTTATAAAGTTCATATATATAGTTTTTTCCACAAAACGCAGGTTTGAGTACACTGATGCACACAACATAATAGATAACATATATGATAGTCTATGTATATCTAATACCACGAATACGACTTGATTAACAAAAGGATGATCTGTATTAATCATTTCAATGGTAATTCTCGGGAATGCTTTCTAACTTTGGTCTCCATTTGCCATCATCACGACCTACTTTTTTGTCTTCTTCTTGTACATGGACTTTGGAGATGTTTCTACATCTGTCTTTTAGGACATGGACTAAGTGTTCGACAGAGTTAAGCCCTCTCTCGTCTCCCAAGATTTGTCTGAGTTCTTGTTTTGTCACCACAACTTTGATCTTCACCACCTTGTTAGATTCTCTTTCTGATCTCTCTTCCTTTTTGAAAAATGTATGTAGCGGCTGTGGTTTGAGAAGATCATCAGCTTTTTCTTTTTCAACGGCTGGATCTTTGTCGCGGATCAAGCAGTTTCCCATTTGGAATTTGTTTCTCTTCAGAAACCCTTTTAATTCAGAAAAAAAAAAGAACTGTTGATAGATAGAGATTGATGAGAACAGAAACTCTTCTGTGTGTAATATATATAGAGAGAAAGAGAGAAACGGTATTTACGCGCTGATAGCATTTGCAATGAGTGTGATATTTGAATGATTTGTATTCTTGTACAAGTACTTGCATTAGATATGATGTGTCATACACGCTTTATACATACTCACGTAGTCACGGACGTCGGTCGATACGCCTATACTATATATGACTACCGACAAAGAGAGTGGAAACAAACAAGAAAAACTGGAAGAGATAACATGTTCTGATATTTGAATAATAAGGGATATTTTTGTTTTTCTATTTACTGGATTAAAATGCTCTTATCTAGTTATTATCTCTCGTTTCTCTTCTTGATCTATCTTTTGATCAAGGACTCGTCGTCCGTGATGTTATGAAGTCGCTGCTAAATAAATTTCAACAAAAGAATATTAAACGGTCGTGGTTAGAATTTTAATTTTTGGACAAGGTACGTATTAGAGATTTTTCAATGTAACAGATGTCTGCATTGTACTATAGATGTCATTCATAAAAGTAAGATTTTATGATAAAATATGACATTAAATTTACTATTTAGATATATTTATAATTACTGTAGTTGATAAATTTTGTTTTTATTATAAACTATATTAGGATCCGTGTATACACGGATTTGAAAATTATTTTAGAATTTGTAAATAATAAATTAAAAATAAAAATAAATAATTTTAATTATTTTTTATTTCTATATTTGTATACGACTTTTTGTTAGTTAAAATATTTATTAATAAATTTTGATTCATTGATTTATATTCATTTCAATCATTTTAATTTAGATTGTGATTCTTATATACATTGATTTATATTAACTACTCCTACTGTTCGGAAACATTTTGCAGAATGCCTGAGGGGGGTATATGTTCGTCAGGATCATGATGAGCGGTATAATGGTAGAGCCTAGGATAGGAATTCCATCCACAAGGGAGCAAACAGAACCAATGCATGCAACCTTGAGAAGGGTCAATATCTCCAGCTATGCGGGTGAAGATGGACTTTAGGGGGCTTGCAGGAGCCAGGACCAGTCATGAGCCAAAGCCCATGAAGGAAAGGCGTTGGGCCCCAAGTTACATAAATAAGCTTGGGGGGCAACATACAGTAAATATCCTTTGGTGCAGTGGTTTACATCATTATTAGTGGTCCTTAAGGTACTGGGTTCGAGTCT